AAACATTTGGGAGATTCCTAAATTTTTAATTTGGAGATTTTCATCTTCCCTAACAACTTTAACGTTACATGTCATCTCAATTGAAGACCTTGGATGCCCTGTACTAGCTGTACTAGGGATTAGAAGATCAGCTTTATTACAGCACGGCTAGATCAATATACTAGATTGGTAGTTTTGTCCCTATATGCATGACCTTATTGTTTCATGGTCCTAAAATCGTAGTCGTACTAGGAAAGGTTGGAACACCTCTTTGCCCAACGTGCCGGAGGTCATAGCTTGCTTAGAATTCAGTGGATATGTTTTTTTTACAAAACCCAAGGACTGATTTATGGATCCTTTTATAGACGATACCCGAATTCCCATATTGAAATCATAATTCATTGGTGAGTCACTATCATGCTTGTCCCACCGCGATTGAAAACTTCGTCTTATGCCTCATCCTTCCTGCCACGCATCGAGTCCAACTGGCGTGGCGGCTTTCAACAGAAAGTGTCAGTTGTCTATGCGCAATGGATTCAATCAATATTTCAGTGTGCATATGCCGTGCTCCTGCATGGGTGCTGTTGTGTTGCTGCACCACCTGCCGCACTACGAGGCCACTAATTATTGTTTTAATTGTCGTGTATATACAGTATAATTAAGGATTAATGTCCCGCCTCGAGGTGAATATGGTGTGATAAAGCCTTGTTAGCTGCTATAACCGCCGAATAAAGCCACTGAGTGACCGCAGCTAGCGAACGAGGTGGCTTTATGATTTGATTATAGCAACTAACAACGCTATATCACACCATATTCATCGAGAAATTGTATCATATAGCCTTTCAAAACTTACACAGTTAAGAGTGACACATTATTGTATGTAACATATACAAACTAAATAGAACATATTTCCATCTGGAGTCACCTGAGGTCACTGGGGGAGGGTCGTGTTCTATCTGGGTCAAAGGGAGGGAACAGGTGTTCTTATGAGTCGTCCGAGGTCATTGGAACACTACTCAAGTTATTATTTTTTTTTTTTGGGACAGAATCTTGTTCTATTAGGGTCATCTGAGGATTGTTCGATGTATGGATTGGGATGAATGAATACCCGGTTTTGACTCTATTTGTGACATTACGGCGTCATAAGGAATGTGGAATGGAGCCTTCTGATTGGTCAATGTCACCCGGCTATATGGTTGTTGTTTATTTTTTATGCACATTGTGTATTTATTTGTTGGCATGGTGGCCTTGAAAAGAATTACTTAGGTCCACCTGCTCCACCATGCCTTCCATGTAACTACATACCAAAAACCGTCAACCGGTTCTTGAGTTATCCTATATTTTCAAACAGATAGCCCTGCAGTTTCAAAGCAAAGTCACGTCACTTCCTCCCGAGCACAAGAGCTACATACCATCTAAATTTTATCACCCTAGCATGTCTAGATCATGAGATATCAAAACCAGAAATTCAGTTGCAGTATCATAACAAGCCGCTAGGGGGTCCAAAATTTAATCATTTTGAGGTCTCATCAAGACCTACCCATCTACCAAGTATCAAAACAATCCATCAAAGCCTTCTCGAGTTATCGTGTCTACAGACGGACGGACAGACGAACACACACACATAATACATACACGGACGCCTCTGAAAACATATTTGGCGAAGGTAATTATCAGGACCGGTTAAAATGTCCTCGGACCGCCTGCTCTTGCTGTGATGTCGTCGAGGGTAAGACCAGGAGCACCAAAACAAAAAAGTGCATTCTGATGGTTTATTCAACGTCGTCACACAGGCCAACAGCTTATGGGGGACGATCGGTAGGTGGTCATGGATGGATGGATGAAAAGTTCTAATGGTCCGGGTCAACAGGTGGTTTCCAGATCGCTAGAGACCCCGCCTTCTCTCTCAAAGCTCCAAGTTTTTCCTTTTTTTATTCTCTAAATCTTTGTTCTCCTCCCATTCCCCAATTTGTTAATTCTTATCATGAATCAAATAAGGCCAAAGTATCTTAATTTTGATAAAACAAATCGTCTTTTTTCAAACTTTCCGATGGATTGTAGCGTGTTTATTTCGGGGCCAGGAGAAAGCACGTTCCATCTGAATACTTGTTGTTCATCCTGTTCCTGCAACAAAACTACAAACCAATTACTAGTTCTTCGTAAAGTCAACATCATTATGCTACTTCGAAATATTGCTTTTTATTTGCAAATTACACCAGGAGGGAAACTTGTACATTATTTATTGGCTGTTTTGCACTTGTTCATTTTGATAGGTTGATGACCCCCTCGTGACCCCAATAACCGACAGACTTGTCATGTAACGCGGGGCGTGACCTTCGAGTGAAAGTGTCCTGCTGGCAGCGTGCAGTTCACACGTCCCTGCTAAATCGCCTGTATTAAAGTGTTTTTGAATGTGAATTGTCCTGAGTAATGTCCTTGATTATCCTTTCAGTTACGGCAAGTTAGACTCCTGTGCAGGTTTCGGGGCGGGTAGGAATTTTGATACAGTGTTTCGAATATTTTTTTAACGCGTGATTTCAATAGCCAGCCATCCTAAAACTAGCCGCCGGGAGAACGTTTCATTCTGCGAGCCCCGGAGCCTGCACAGGAGGCCACACAGCCAGTAACATATACAAAATAAAGCTGACATTACACCGGAGGCTTGTCACACAGTTTGTCTTGTCTTTGCCGCAAACCTTGTGACTTGGTTTTAACATTCAGGCTGGTTTTAACATTCACGCATTGGTTATGCTGTTTATTTCCTATCGATTCAGTATTGCAAAGCAAATAAAATGATACTCAGTAACCTGGGTGCCAGGCAAGTTTGGGTCGCTTTATGCGCTACCCATTTTCTTCCGGCAGCCAGAAGCCCTTCGCCCGCCTATTGAAATCACTACTGTGGAGTTGGGACCATGAGGAGTACTCGGCAGGACCGAAGAATGACGTTTATAGTTAGCCTCTACCAGGCACCGCGGATCGCTGGAGTAGTAGAAATTGGCCGAAATAAAGGAATAATACCAGGGAAGTTAGCTGGCCAGAGAAGCTCCATTCAGTGCGACCCACGGGTGGCATAACCGCAGTCCAAAAACTGTCGCTAAAAAACTGCAGCAAGAAACTACACGACGCCGACATCTACATGTACAAAACTTTGGTATAACGTCCTTGTTACACCCTCCCAAGCCGTGGGCCAATTTAGCTGTAAACATAGACGTGTGAATTACTTCTCGCGATACTGTTAATCGTTCCTCGCGGATACGTTAATCGGTACCGAACCAGAGCAGGCGTTAGTATGTAGGGTTGCCTCCTTTGCAGACCTGTTGGACGGCGGCGTTATTTTTTTTTTTCGGAGAGCGGCGCGAGTTATGCTGCAGAGGGGCAATTTTGCCGCGGAGGGAGTTTTGCCACGGAGAGAAGGTTCTCTCCGTGGCAAAGGGGCAAGAGTAAAATGCATTACTGTTTTTCGGAGTCATTGACTTTTTACCTACAGCAGCCTGTGAATTTTGACACATAAACAGTTCTGATCTGTTCACAAATTGTGTGTATGTATGTGTGTGTGTGTGTGTGTGTGTGTGTGTGTGTGTGTGTGTACATGTATGTGTGTGTGTGTGTGTGTGTGTATGTGTATGTGTGTGTGTGTGTGTGTGTTTGTAAAAATCTATCGCTTATGAACGCCATCGTCTGGCACCCAGTCTATTCCGTGACCACCCTGTGACGCCAGTAGGTTGGCGGGGCGTATGGCTTATATCTGGCCCGTTTTCTCTCTTTGAGGCTACTATTTTGGTGGTAGTAGCAGCAACAAAAAAACGGCCATACATAAAAAGCAAACCATCTTCCACCATCAACTTCTGCTTGGAGAGTAATGCAAAATCAGACGTATTTGTCGCGAATTGGGTTGACTTCCCGTAGTTTTCTTATCATGATTGTCCAAGTGTTTATTTTGTTTGAACCCTTGACATCAGCGTTTCCCATGGACATGTTGTGAAATGTGGTTCTCATCATCATGTCCTATGTTTTCACGTCATCAATAATTTCCGTTCTCTTCTCTTCACTGAAACCTACCATGACAGTTGATTGAGGAGACAGATAAGGAGACATGGCTGATACTCCTTTTGCACATGGAGTTAGAACTTATGGGTAGCAAGGTGTTGACATTTTCTGACGTCGTCATAATCCATGTGTGTATACTAACCAAATGTGCTTTATCGTGATATTACCAAAATGATGACTTGCTCGGTTGACCTTCCGTGGCCTAACTTCGTAATTTAATATTCACCTATAGTTCGATCAAGCACCTCTAATACTTCTACTTAGGTAACGTTCGACAAAAATTCACCATCCTCTTGATCTCTTACTTGCAAAATCATGTCCAAATGGTAACTGCGGGTACTTTAATTTTATTGGCTGTACTGCATTGTATTTAGAAAGATGTGGTGACCCATATGTGAATCCGATGACCATTTCTGACTTGACGTGTCCTGTTGGCAGCGTGCGTCCCCTGTACTCCGACATTGTTCCCATGGATACAGTAACATATGGCTAAGTTTAATGGACTGTTCCAAAAATATAATTTGGAGGGGAGGTTGAAGAGATTGGATTTTCTACTTTCTGACTCCCCTTTCATTATCATCCGAGTACAATGTACCTTTAACCCCATTCATTTCATCCATATCCAGGTGCCTTGGCCCCTTAAAATTTTTATCCAAGTGACTTGACCCTATAATTTCATCCAAAGCCAGGGCTTTCTTCTTGTAAACCCCGCCTCAATTCAAATCCAACAAATGCCACACCCACTATACCCCCCTTATGGTAAAATCCGACCTCTTCAACCCGACCCCCCCCCTTCCTTGAATTTGAACCATCTGTGTGATACCGTAGAGAGAAGAGTGCCTTTCTTCCTCCTATCAGTTATTCACACGTCGTCAAACCGTGCGCACGCTTTCCTGTCCGTCCCTCTGTGTCCGTCTCGAAGCCTGACTCTTGTCGTCTCCGCGTTAACTACCTTCGTCATACACGTGGAAGACATGGCAGCACCCTTGTTTGCAGAGATCGAGCTGGTAACACGACCAGGGGCGCCCATGGCCGACTGCTTGGACTGGTTAATGGAGCATCAGTTGCTGGCATCTAGCATGGACTGTCTCCGGTGTGACGGTCATGTGGCGATGGAGTACGTGGAGCGCAGGGACGTAAGTGACGAGTTTACGTGGCGCTGTCCCAGGGCGACGTGTCGTACATCCCGCTCAGTTCGCACGGACTCCATATTCGCCGAGTTCCCCAAGATTGACCTGCGAGTTTTCCTGCGAGTCATCGTAAAGTGGGCGGAGGGAAAACTTGTCAAAGACATAGCTGAGGAGCTGCTTTCCATTGGTTATGTGAGTAAGCACACATTGTGCAAAATGTGCCGGGTCCTCAGACAAGTTTGTGAAAATAAACTTGTCATCGATCCTCCCATTCCAATGGGAGGTCAGAACACTATCCTAGTCATGGATGAGTCAGTTTTCAGGAAAAAACCAAAATATCGACGTGGCCGCAGGGCGAGGCCCATCTGGGTGTTTGGCATTGTGAGGACTGACGTCCAGCCGTGCATTGGTTACATGGAGGTAGTGGAATCCAGGGATGCCAACACTTTGCTGCCAATAATTGAAAGATGTGTACTACCGGGGTCCACCATCTACTCCGACGAATGGGCAGCATACAGACGCGTTCAACAACTGCCAAATGTCGCCCAACACAGCACTGTTAACCACAGCCGTCACTTTGTAGACCCTGTGACCGGGGTTCATACCCAACACATCGAGTCCTACTGGAACCGAAAAAAAAAGAAACTGAAAGCCATGCACGGATGTATGGGAGAGGACACTTCCAGCTACCTCAAAGAAGAAATGTGGCGAGAGAGATACGCTAAAACATCACGGGAGGGACTACAAAGTATCCTAGCCGACATTGCTGAGCAGTACAACGTTTAAACGTTGAACTAACCAAAAGACGGACCGGACAGTTGAGACTGTGTGAAAAAAAAACAAACACTGCCTTAAACAAGGCCATATGTCACCATGGTGGGGTGCCTCCTCGTTGGCGGTTGACGGAAATGCGTTATCTAACTTAATCTATAATATATAGTCCTGACTGGATTACGTATATAGGTTATGTTTGATGCGTAGCTAAATCCCCACCACAAATCCTGACAAAATCACCCCATATAGCTCTGACACTGGTGCAGCTCACACACACAAACAAAGAAATTGGAATAAAGAATGACATACGTTCACTAAAAATACTACACACTACGGTCTTCGTTATACTTCTTATACCTCAATGAATAGTCTTGGTAACCCCAAGCCCTGTAGCCTGGCTACTAGGCTCCGGAATACAGATACAGTCAAACCTGCCACCTCTTCAAGCTCACCACCTGGCCATGGTGACCGCTTTTTCTGGGTACCCAAAATTTTCGCCATTGACGCAGAAATACCTGTGCAAGATCATGCCCGTAGCAAGGATTTTGAATGGGGGGTCCTTGGCATTTCAAAGAAAAAAATCAGACAACTTTTTATTTAATGCTAGTTTCTGCTCTTGTCAGCCCGAAGCCTGCTGTGCCCAACGAACTTTTTTCATATTCACGCCTAACATGGGCCAAATTTAGCCTCCTCATGTTGCAGACTTGTTGGGGGTCTGCGTTAACTGTGATCATGGAGCGTCAGCGAAGCAGTAAATTGAGTAATATGGAGTACATCTCAAACGAAATGCTAAAACACGGGGCTGAACAGTTTTGTAAACCACTGGTACAATCCTTTCAAACGGCGCTTTCCCATTCAATTGGAATACGAGCATACTCACACCAATCTTAAAGTCGGAAAGCAAGTCCAATGTAGCCTGGGTGCCAGACCCATGGCACACTGGACACAAAGTATCTCACTGAGATACTTTGTGTCCAGTGTGCTATGAGTCTGGCACCCAGGCTAGTCCAATGTGTATAATTACCGCGATTTAAGTTGTCCGTCAAAACTATTCATCCTCCTCTTGAATAATAGATTACAGAACTTGTAGAAAAGAATTGTCTGTTAGCTGACACGCGATTTGGTTTCAGAAATAAATGCCGAACAGCTGACGATGTTTTTATTCTTAAAGCTTTAATTTAAAAAAAATATCTCCAAAAAAGAGGGGGAAACTATTTGTTTGCTTTGTCGACATGAAAAAGGCATTTGACAGTGTCTGGCGGCATTATTAAAGCTATATATTATTACTGAGGCACAATGGCCTTGGTGCCCAACGCTGGCGTTTATAAGCGATAGATTTTGGGGTGGGGTGGGGTGCGTGAAGAAGCATACTGTCCGCTACAAACCCGGCTGCCCCAAACCCTTTTATTTCACGCCATCACAGCTTACGCTATGTTACCGACAAGCTCTCTCAGTCGGAGGTCACCGGTAGGGCGGCAGCCGCCAAGAAACGCGATTAGCCAGGGTAGTCTGGCATCTAGATTTGAGATGAGATCTGAAGTACTCTCCAAGCAGAGGTTTGGGGTTATTTTCAGCGTGTTTTTAGGCTTTTTATCTTTTTTTTCTGCACTGGGTTTCGTGGGAATAAATCCAGTGCAACTTGCAAAGAGAAACCCCGATAAAAAAGCCTAGAAACACGCTAAAAATAACCCCAAACCCAAACCTCTGCTTGTGGAGCAATTTGGAGGGATAAAGCCCGCGGCTCGTCCTCCCGGTGTTTATTTTTCTTACATGCGTCAGCAGAGCCTCCCACTGACATGTACGTTCTGACTTGGTTCTAATTACTCATCACGTCTTCATAATTCACGTTCCTTTCTCAAAAACCTCAGTCGCCCGACCCGGCGATCCAAGACCGTACTCTGACACTGTCTCTGATCTAGCTAATTTCACTTTAGCCTGGGTACTAAACCTTTGGTCGGCTTGGCTGTAGTTTTCGGCCGCGCTGAGCTCACGGCTTGCCAGGCTAATTTCACTTTGATTCCTTTTCAATAACTGTGATGCCGGGGTATGATGAGTTGACTTCCTAAACTGGTATGATAAATATACGAAAAAACATAATGAACATAGAATTAGAAATAAAACAAAAGTACAAGTAGCAAGGAGTCTAAAAATTATCTGATGTCTTGTCAACATGTGGCCATGTGTTCTTCGGAAAAGAGAAGCCACATATTTGTTTTCAATTAGAATCGACCGGGACACCCTCTGAGCTAACGGTCGTTTACGATATACCACCAGATGTGTTATCACATTTTATCATCGTGCCTTCCAGTCAGCATTATTTAGCTGAGGTGAACAAATAACATCTTTTGTTAAATGATGATACTAGTATCCTTATGTTATAATTTGCCCTGTAGGAGACATGCAGCACAATGGCACCCGATTGTCGTCAGAGGACATCCCCGCAATATTACGGGAGCATCTGTCGCCTACGAACCCAACGACACTAATCACCACAGTCACCTCCGGTTCTCCTACAAACACCACAGCCACTACTGGATCGAATGCCCCACCAACAGCCCCACCTACGAAACACCACAGCCACTACTGGATCGAATGCCCCACCACCAGACTCCACCACCAACCCAGCAGCCGGGGCACGACCAGACTCCACCACCTCCCCAGCAGGCTGGGCACCACCAGGCTCCACCACCACCTCAGCAGCCGGGGCACCACCAGGCTCCACAGCCACCACAGACTCCACAGCCACTGCAGGCTCCTTGGCTCATGACAACTAGAGTGGCCAGACAAATGGCCACACTGGCCAACAGGGTGCCCTTTGGACCCCTCGGAGGTGGAAACTTTGGTGAGCATACTATTCTGAATAAATGTAATTAAAACCTCATACTGAATGGGAAATATTTGGAAGGGACCAAGTGACTTTGTTGTGTCAGTGTAATTTTTTTAGCTAAGCCTCTTGTTGGTTATAGCTATAGAGTGTAACTTACATACCAGATGCAAAAAAAAACAATGTATCAAGATGTAACAAATCACATTAGACCATAGGCTATGACTACAAGATTGAGGTCATTCGTGCTACTGTGTCATTCATGCTACTGTATCATGTCATGTAGGTCGCATCAGAATGGTGCCAAGGATGGTTCAGCTCCCAACCTGGAGGCACCAGCCACCCCGGGCAGGCCAGATGCAAACCAGGCCACCCCAGCACTCATTGGCAGAGCACCAGCTACCAGCCAGAATGGTGCCAAGGATGGCATTTCAGCCACAGGGAACCCCCTGGAGGTTCTTTCAGAAGTAAGACTTTTCAGGATTCCTGACTCTTAACATTAAAAATGAATGAATGACGAATCACTTATGACAAATCACTTAACCCTCTTCGTGACTCTATTCATCTATTCAGGGTTTGTTTTTCCAGGGACAGTAATTGTCAGAAATGTTATGTCTTTAATGTTGGCTGCTTTAATATGTTTGATCACAAACCTTAAGTCGTTACTTAGAGCACTGCCAGGTCCCCTCAGCCAATAGGGAGCCTGTTTTTTTATGATTATATCCACATGCATGTAGTACTAGCTGCCTTTTTGCCAGTTAGTGAACCTCTCACTGCACTAACTAACCAGCCACCCTCTTCTCAGCCAACCAGTGAGCTGGAATTGGTCTCTCTCTAGTGATAGAGGTGCTCTAACTAACCGAATAGATTAGACTATGTTGGAGACGCCTACTGTGGTATCCATAAAAACAACAGCTGGCCAATGGCAGTGTACAGCTTTCTGCCTTTGGCAGGCTGACCGGCTCACTACCACACATGGCTTGAGTCTTCTCAGACAGCAAAACAACTCCTTGAAACTAGACAGAAAGTGACACTGAACAAAGATTTATAAAGCTAAATATAGTCAGTGTTCGAAATACCCATCTGCAGTCTGCAATTTGCAGATAGATTTTCAAGATTGCAGAAGAGAAAACTTACAATCTGCAATTTTGCAGAAGGAAAAAATAGGCTCCGGATTCAATAATTTTCAATTAGCAAAGCAGTGGCGCTGTGAATAGATCGAAAACCTGCGCCGCACGAACCTGCCGGCGTTTTCCAGCAGACTGTAATGGTCCCAAATAAGGGAATTTGGGGTCAAAGTTGAACGATTTCGACAAGGCGACGAAAGGCGACGATAACCAAATATGGGCACTCGCCATTTTCCGATGTTAGATTTCGTCTCCCGGGAGGACCCGACAACTGCCTCGGCAATTTTCGCTGAGCATTTCCCAGCAGGTGAAGGTGAAGGTGTGATTTCCCAGCAGGCAACACGGCAAAGGAAACATGGCTCCTCCGAAAAACCACACTCGCCTCGGCGTTAATTTGCCGAAATTTTGATGTTTTTCCTTGGTATTTTGCACGATTCAAGCAAAGAAAACAAGTTGATCACATGAACAAAAGAGAAATACAGCACTGGGAACCAAATGGTCCGTTTTGTTGGGCGGTAATTTCTCATTTCGAGTGAAAATTTACGTGCATCACATTGCGACCATATGGTGTAAAATCAGTGATTTTCGGCTCGATCCGAACCAAGCACGGCCCGTAGACTTGTCCTTTATGATTTCTAGATGACTATCGGTACCAAAATAAGGTAAAATATTGTTGCAAAATGAGAGAGACGGAGACTAAGGTAAACTTCTTTTATTTAAAGGCTGGATTTTCATTTTCCTGGCAGGCTTCTTTGTATGTAGTGATCATCAGTTATTCAGTAACGTTACAAATATGGATTTTTGTTCCGGTCAAAAAAAAACCGGTCCACCGACGTTTCGGTTTTTTTGGACCGGACCGATAAAATTTTTCGGTCCGAACATATGTAAAAGAGTGATATTTTGAAGAATTTCAGTAATGCTACAGATTTACAAAGCTATACCGTTATATATATATGATGTAAAAATAGGCATTATTGGTTTCAGAAGGTTGTAATATGGGGGCTTGTGTATTTGCAGAAAGTATTTCAAAATTGCAGGACGAAATTTTGATACTTCTGCAATATTGCAGAGCACTGAAAAAAAAGTATTTCGACCACTGATAGTACTAGTGCAGTAGTGGATGGGGTTTATCAACTTCGTGGACCTAAAAGTGCTCTAAGTTAGATAGAGCATGGTTTGAGGCTGAATACTCGGATTTAGAACTGCCCGCCCAATTTCATGTCACCCTCGGCCTCCAGCCTCCTGAGGCATGAAATCCCCTTGGTGGGCAGGGCAGTTCTATATCCTCATAGTCAGCCTCAAACCATGCTCTATCTATATAGACTAATACATGTACAAGGTAGAGTGAAGACACTCTGTACTTAAATGTACTATTTGAGGGCAAATCTTACACTGTTTGAATGACAGGGGCCCCCAACATCTTTTGTTGTGAGTTAGCCCCGGCCTACACTGTCTCTAAAGTTTGACTCACAAATGAAGTTGTAAACAAGGAATTTGGCCTTCAATAAAGGGAACCCTCTAGAATTTTTTGGGGGATACCAGACCCCATACTGTTCATGGCATTGAGACTCGATGTGTGGCAATGTATTGCAGAAGATTGTCCTTCTGTACTTGACTCCTACACCATAACAAAAATTCCAATGAAACATCAGCTTATCCCAACAGGATTCTTTTACCCCATACACTGTTTACACTAGAACATTGTTTGTCCATACCAGTATGATGGTTGTTGCAGGAATGCTTAATTCAAGAAAATAAGTAAGATTTACAAAATTGCGAGTAGCAAAAATGGCATTATATGAAACCTCTTTGTGGTACAAAACCAAACTGTTAAAACCATACTCTCTTCTTTGATTTTCAGTTACCGATAAGTCGCAGCAGCTAGACCTGGAAACATCTCTTGGATGTGTTGGTGTCACCAAAAGGGGTGGGCATTTCCTAACATGAGAAGTTCAAGATAACTGTATCTTTGAAGAAATACCTTGCACTTAAAGGGAGCAGTACATCTACAGAGGCCATATGAATGACATTACCCCCGAGTCCCATTTCAGTTTTCAAGTAATCTGCAGTTTACACGAAGACGCTGTAGTGTTTGCCGTCTTTCTGAGAGGGAGTCATTAAGCTTGTACTATTGAGAGTGACTGCCATAGATTAGGACGTCTGTGTTTGAGGAATTTTGTTATTCCTACGCTTTAGTTTGTAACTTCATACACTGTTGCTCCTAGATAGTAAACGTTTCATCCAGCTATCATCTGATCATCTCATCTTTTAGAAAGCTTGCAGCACAATATCGTACCATGAAGTGAGAAATGTATTAAATTTACATGTGGATGTGTTATAGAATGCTCTCACAAAAAGGGAAATAAAGTACATACACATAACTTTGAAATGTCTCTATATCTGTATGATAAGGCAATTGGACATGAAAATGAAGAATATGTCAGTGGTCTTGTTAGTGGATAGCATTTTGCATTGTAGATATTGTAGACATCTTTTGTATAAAACGTTTTGCATTTAAATGGTGATTATTGTGTTAACATTGTATGACATACGAGTTAATATTATTATTTTTGCTCTATAAACTTCTGAGGTAGCCATGTATTTAGGATACTTTTTTTGCAAAGCATGCTGAACACAAACATAGGTAAAACACTGCTGAACACCTCTGTACAAGTCTAAAGTGAGGAATACCCATAGAAAATAAAAAGGAAGAAAGTCCTGGAACTCAAAACGTCACATTATTTGCCACAACTGTATCCAACCTGCATGAATTTTATCACCTAATCTTTCTCTGTATTAGGCCATACCAAGAGAAGGTAAATCGAAAACTACACAATTATAAGGTGTTAAGACGAATATTATTCTAATTTCTGATAAGATGTATGTATCCTACTTCCTGCATATAATGCTTTTCAGCACAAATAAAAGTTTTGAGTGTACCCTTTGAGAACATGAATGAAAGTATTGTGTGAATGTGTGTTGTCTCCCATGCATAAAGATCAACATATGATTTTTTGTCGATTTTGAAAAAAATATTTTTTGCCCTTTTCCAATCATACGGCAATACTGGACAAGATGAGGAACCTTGCCTAATTTACACCTAAGCTAATGACGTAGTCCACCGACTTTGACTTCTATCAATGACGCTATAGAATTAGCATAAATGGTGAATTTGTAGGTGTAGAAAGTAAAAAAAAATGTTTAAGGCGTTAGAAAACGTGTGAATTAACAAAAGTCCGTTGTCTAAACCTAAATTTCAAACCAATAAATCTCTATCAAATTCTCGTTTCCATGGTAACACCAAAGGTGAGTATGAAATCGGATATATTAAAGAAAGGTTTTGCGGCTCTACCTCTAAACATTCAGGAATAATGTCACATGAAATCCGTGACACCGGCCTGCCACCCCCTCCCCTCTTGATAAGGTTAAGATGCCTAACTAGTTGAGGCAGCAATACACATCTTTAAAACACTTGACAAGTAGGTGTTAACGAGTACGCAATGAGGTGTGAACTCTTGTGCGTGCGCCTTCTTAAGCTTGGTTAAGTGTTGTCAACATATATGTACCTTGCTCATTCATTGACAAAGACTGGAGTCTTACACTTACAGTCGTAAAGTTGGTGAGTCCAATTTTTGTGTTGGAATTTACAGTTTAAACTTGCTCCATAATAATACATTTTCCTTCGTTATACATAATTATGAAAGGTCATGAGAAAGACATTCACAACAATGAAACAAGAAATTCACAACAACTATATTATTCAGAAGAGTTTTTACGAATTCATTTTCTTAGTAATTAATATGACTATGAATATGATGGTCCAGCTATGCTCGACATAACAATGTCTATTTTTAAAGTCTCATCACATGTAACCATAACTCCCACTTGTGA